GTCACTCCCGTCGTGTGCTATGCTACTTGTCATGATCGGGAATTCGGTGTGTAAATAATAGTCTAACAATAACTAGTATAGAAAAACGTCAGTCAGCATTTGACTTAATGATAGTATCTGGTGAAAAGGTGACTATGTAGATCATAGAACTTACGAAATGGTGATTTAAATCGAGATTGTTGATATTCTTGTTTAATTAACTTATTTGTCAGTAACTTACCCCGTTTTAAAAAAAGGCCATACGACTAGAGCATGCTTTAGGATATCGATTCAACTGAGATATATAAACCCCGTATGCAGGTGATGAAGAATTATTGCTGCATAAGTGAGGGAATTTGACGATTGAAAATTAGGGTCATCGCTTTTATCATAAAGCTTGGTTGGTAGAATGCCAATAATATCTTTTTCAAGTAAATATCAAAAATATGAAACAAATGTATCAGACTCTGGTATCTTTATTTTAAGATTACCGAGATACAGACATACTTAAAGACGTAAGAACGAAAAAAAAAACATTGTTGTTAATTGACAATACGTCGTCGATATATCTAAATGTCGATTTGAAGGCCATTGCAAGTGATTTCTTCCTTTCACGTAGAAGAACGTGTGTTACAACGCACTTTGAAAAATTACGCACTTTGAAAAAATTTTTCAAAGTGCGTTAAATTTGGGACCAAGCTATAACGCACTTTGAAAAAATTATTTTTTTTCAAAGTGCGTTGATATCGACCATATTGACGCACTTTGAAAAAAAAATGTAGATTGATCAATATTCTTACAAATAATCGGTATGATAAATAACAGATCTTGGATGGATGACTTTTTTATGATGAAGTCACTTCCGGACCTGAGAAGTTTACGTTTTAAATATTTGAGGTTTTGATAAAATAAAAGGGAAAAGGGTCTTGAAAAAAAGAGTGACGATTGTTTAAGATCATTATTTTTTTTCCTTTAAATTCTAGTCTTTGATAAGTATATGTAAAGATGTAAAGGGGGCACTAACAGTGGACAGCTTAAAGCAACTTAGCATTTATCATAATAAAAAGGGGGCACTTTGATTGTTCAAAACAATGAAAATTCTTTCTCTCTCATACGTTTTTCTGTACTTCAATATTTCTAGTTTACACCTGTTTTAATTAACTCATTTAATATTGAAAGTTTTCAACGTTGAGTAAAAGCCCCCCAATTCTGGAAAAATATATATACATCGTATAAGCATTGAAAATGCAGCTTACCCTTTTTGGGTTTATTGCTCCCCTCCCCCGTTTGTTACCGACACCTATGTATTCAAAAGATAAAGATTTGGACTGAGGGATCTTACACCTGTCTTCTCCTCTTTTCGACGGGAGTTAATCAATCCATAAGTTTTTTGAAAGATAAATAACAAATAATATCTTTCCATTACTAAAATATGATTTAATTTTTTTTTCAAAGTGCGTTAAGTGTCTTCATGGTAAAATATATTGATGTAGACTCTTAACGCACTTTGAAAAAATTTTTCAAAGTGCGTTGAGTTGGTCCCAAATTTAACGCACTTTCAAAAAATTTTTCAAAGTGCGTTGATTTTGTCCCAATTTTAACGCACTTTGAAAAAATTTTTCAAAGTGCGTAATTTTTTCAAAGTGCGTTGCCACAAACGTGCTTATTTATTGACAAAAACTGAATATCACTAAGCCCCCAAAACAATAGTTTGGAATTATAATTATTAACCAAATCTCATTATGAAGTTTTAATCTGTATCGGAAAAAAATGTCGAGTAGGAATTTGGTTGTGTAGGAAAGCTGAACTTCAAGTGGGGTCCTCTTTGTTCCGCGCTGAAACTTAAATCTATATCGCTTTAGTGATACAGATGAACAAACTCTCGAGTAGTCAATATTAGCTCTAAACTGCCATTACCACCGGACCAACAGGGCTTCAATACATTAACTTATAATGTAAATGGACTGCTCAGGCCTTGGTTTAGGTCAATATTAATTAATGGCAATTACACTGTGATCAGGTTCAGTGTTACCCATTCATTAAAAAAAGATGCTTTGAAAGAGTTCTAATATAAGAAACAACTACGAATATTCAACGGAAAAGACTTAAATCATAAAAGACCTTTATCAGTCTGCACACCAGATTAATTATTTCAAAATATACTTAAAACTTAACGTTCTTTTCAAAATATCAATCGAAAAAGAGAAATTACAGAAATATTAGATTGCAAAATATTTAGTATCACATGGGTTGATATTCTTTATATTATAATTATTATAGTTATTACACACAGTAAAAAGTATTTAACATATCAACATTTTCTATAGAATTACAGATAAACTTCAATTAATCAACAGTTTAATCCAGAAATTAAATTCGATAAATCGTTGTGCAGAGTACATGTATTGAAGCAATTCACTTTGTTTAAATGTCGGACTTAACATAGTTTAACTGATAACCTAGATAAAATAAGTTAAAATGCTAATAAATAGCAATAATTTTAGGTAATCCATAGTATCAAAGTGAAAGTTTTTATGTTAAAGTATTTACCACAGACAACAAAGATTCTACCAGGAAACCGAACTGTCTCAGTCATCTTTCATTATTTCAGCCACCGGAGCCTTGATAATCACCAGTATCTTCCCCCTAAGTAGATCTTTGATGTTAATTAAGTGTAAAGCAAAACTGTAAGATTGAAAATGTTACGATAGTAATAGTATAAGCTATTGACTTAATGATTACGGAAGATTAAAGTGTTTAAGTTTCATATGTTACTTCATTTCCCTGCAAACAAAAGATGAGGAATTTATTTCAACTGACGTCTTTAATCGCCAGTTTTCAAATAATCACTGTCAATCGGTCTAGAAATTATAAAGTACAAAGTTTATACAAATAACAAAGTGCACCATTATTGATGGTTAACTCTATACTTTGATTTACTCTGAATAAAAGAACATGGTCGTTAACAAGGGTACTATTTGGAAAAGTTTCTTTGATTTATTGAAAAGTAAATTTTTTTTTCTTGTGTATATTAATGTAGAATCTTAAAATATGTGATAAAAAGTTGACATGTTGTATACTGAATTATAATGCTGTTTTGATAATTCTGAACGATAAGGTTTGTATAATTTATAATCCAATGTAAAACCGGTATTATTTATCTTGCTAATTAACCTGAAAGAATACATTTTGTAGATTTTAAGGATAGGATATGTACTCTCCATAATATTTGTGTTTTACTTTTTATCTAATATATATAATTTTTGTATTTAATTAGTACTCTTTCATTTTAATTATTTATATCATGAACAAATAATTAAAAGAAAAGTAAAACACTTCTATTAGAAAGAAACATGCAAGGGACACTTAAAACGAATTTACGTCCTGTATCCTTTATCAATATTATTAACTCACTGACAAGTATATTAAGTCAACAACTGCTAATTAATACGTGCAAATGAGTGTTGATATTTCCTATGAACTCCAACACAAAACATTTACACGTATCGTTACACAAATATAGTTATTTTCAAATCCTTTTTAAAATAAATTATTTTTCTTCTAGGATTTTCTACTTTCAATTAAATACAGAGACGAATAAAAATCATTAGATATGAACTGCCAATTATATTGCGTCAACTGCTGGCACAAATTAATCTACAATTTGAAGAAATTTCATTACGAACATATTTATAACCCCTAAGAAGACCCTTTGGGAATCAATTTCCATTTCAGTAGTTCCACTTCTATAGACAAAGTCTCCTGATACCTTTACATTATTCATGGGTTTCTCTAATTTAAGTTGACACATTGAAGCTCCAAGGCCACTACTGTGTACAATAAGGAAAAGATTTATTTTCTAAAATATACTCCATACTTGAATTTATTAAATAATAGATGTCTGGACAGAATAGCTTTTGTTCAATGAAAAATAAATATTCATCAATATAAACATTCGATCACAAATTTATTTTTCAACAAGAATTGTATGAAACCTCAAAAAATTTTGAACTTTCGCTTGATGCAATGAAAATACGAAGATTGATCAAAAACTGCTATTAAATCTCTCTGAGATAACTTTGTCGTGAGATGTTATATTTCTTTATAATATTTAGAATCTATGAAATTAATAAATGAGCTAAAGATTGTTGATGTTAAAGTACTGTTATTATTTACATATCACTTAGTTTAAAGGCAGAATTTAAAAATGAATAAAAATAAACATAATTATATAAAATTCTATTTATGTAGAACATTCTATCTATGTATAAACTATGCTTATTTTGTGCAGAACCAAACTATGGACCCCTGGAGTAGCAAACAGTACCATCAGGTGTCTAGAAATCGTAAGCAGTCCTTGTTCACCTGTAACACCCGCCGTGTACCCTCTGTATTGATATGGAGGATTGTGTAGTCAAATCTACTGTAAAACAAAAGCCTAACGTTTGGTATGAAAAATACAATGTATCATGATTTGGTATGAAACATACAATGTATCATGACAAGGAGGACACGACGGGTATGACCGGTCGGCAGGGGATGCTGACTCATCCATGGTACCTGATCCCACCTCTAACGTTTTGGAGGTCCGTGTTTGCTCTGCTCCTATTTTGTATTGTTTTATGGACTTTTGAGCTTGTTCGTTACCTTCATTTGTTTCATCAAATAAGAATCAATCTGTCGGATGCTGAATAAGGTTACTTTTCTTCTCCTAGTGTTCTTTTTTGTCCTTTTTACCTTTCTCATCTGTTAGTATGCTCTATGGTATACGACATTTATCACAATTTTTCGCCTTTTTCATTTTAAGATAAAACGTAACATTAGGGTTAGGAGTATTATAAGGGTAAAACATGCGATTTGGCCAAAGTTTATCGTCTTCTTTGGTAAGACATTATTATTAAGACAATTTTTATGAATTTGCTTAGAACTCTAGTTGTCATAGCTCTAACTTGTAAGGAGCAATTATAAGTTAGTAAGAAAAAGTAATGTGCATAACTCATTTAATCAACATTTTCATCAAATTTTTCCATAAATATATTTTATAAAATTAAGACTGAAACCTTTGTAAAAATGACACAAAAATGATTTGCATTACACACAATTCAATCAAAAACAATTTGAGTTTTATGTACACGTTACATTAACTTTCATAATAGTGTCAATGCAATATATCTGAAAAGGATAGTATGATCCTATTAACAGTTATTTGCTTCTAAATCGTCAAATGTACTTTTAATTACGATCTTTTAAAATGCTTTTCTATGTTAAAAGTGCCAAGACACAGACTTGAAGTTCATATTCTCTCAAATTTTCTGTGTTATATATCGAACTTATATGTTGCTATAGCATTTCACACGGAAATAAAACAAAGATCTTATTTTATCTGGAAGTTGTTAAAATTAAAAAAAAACATCAACTTCAAATCTGTGTCTTAGCACCTTAAACCAACAATTATTTAAGACATCTTTTTGTGATACCTCTGTTCTAATCTACTATCGTATTTCCCGACTGAACCAACCTTCCACAAAAATACATAAGTGAAACATTGGTTAATTAGGAGAAATGTTCCCAAATAAAACCTGGTCGCGAAACTTGCGGAAATTTCTTCCTCGAGAATAAAAGTTGGTTTACAGTATCTTGATATCCCTTTTAAAAGAACAATCAATTCAGAGCTGATCATTCCATTATTCTTTTTTCATTTGACATTAATGTGCAAAATATTAAGACAATTTTTACAATTATATTTGCTCTGTTTTTTCAAAATAAGATTAACATTAATTCGCAAGTTGCATTTAAATATAACAATTTCTATATATACAATTGTTTAAAAAATATGATTGGCTACAAAACAGTTATCACAGTTACATGTACATAATTTCAAAGAAAAAAACAATGCGTCATTGATTACGGTATTTTGAAGCTGATGAGGTACAATCTAAAATATTTTAAGAAAACCAATTATTAAAAAAAATTCATTAAACTATTACGAATCAAATATCAAAGGTAAATGATTTTGACTGAGTTATTAATCCGATATAATTTGAGAGGATTTGAGATTTTAAAAAATTGAAAAATGTTACTTCAGGTTTGAATCAATGTTACGTTCTTTCGAAGCAAATTTCTAAGCAGTAAAAACCTCTGAGTTCTATAAACGAGTTTAATAATCGGAAATTTTGTGTGTGTTTGTGTTTTCAATGAACATTTGGACGGAAGGGTGTATAAATTGCATCATAAGATTGGACATTTTGGTTGATTTCAGACCAGAGCTTACCCAAGTCGACTGACTTGTCAACAGTTTTTTTTCTTTTTTTTTAGAATTAACATCATATTCGGTTGTTAATGCATTTATATTACATAAAATATTGATTAACAAACCATACTTTTTTCTGTTGATCTCTAACAGACAGAGGAAGAAATTTTAATGCATTATACAAAAAAAATAAATGTACCACTTTTGCATAATGAACCCGATTCACACGATTAAAAAATGCTGTAAGATACCAAATCAGAGAATTGATATGCTAGCTATATTCTGTTTGCTTTTGATATATTTGCAGGTTGCTGTATTTCTGTAGAACAACAACATAAAACAATTTTAAAAGCATTGACCGTAGGTCAAGTTGTTCTATTTAGGCGATATCTTTCGAACACCTGACCAATTGTTTAATCGCAAAGAAGAAGGTGCCTTAAACTTTCACTAAAGTGAAAAAGAAAAAAATATTGCATCGTCATTCTATATAGATTTTATGATGCGGTCTGATTGACAAATTTCTAGCTTCCAGCTTCGTATCATCTTTGTAGGAAAGTATTTAGCCGATAATATTTTTCACCCATTAAAAACTCTGTGTTTCCATTTCGTAACTTTCTTTCTCAATGGAATGACATTTTCAGTATCGTCAGGAATCACATCCGGCATGTGTTTCTTGTCACTGTAGTAGTTCAGAATGTCTTCAATGTCACGTGGTGTCAATTCGAACATCTCCTTGCCCTTTGATGATTTCCCGTCCGGAGAGGTCCTCTTTTCATAGGCTGGAGGTGGCGACGGCTTTGGTCGGATTGATGACGTCATACTCGAAGGTCGTGAGTCGATGTTACTGCGAGGAGTGTTCCTGTTCACTTCAGGAGTCTTGACTTTTTTCACCTTTTGCTCATCATCCTTCCTCTCTATAAAACTAGTTTCTTTATGTTGAATGTTTTCTGAATGTTTTTCAATGGTTTGGTTATGTGGGTCCGTAGGTTCTTCAACATCTTCAAGTGGCAAATCTTCGACTTTTTGTCGTGTTTGCTCGTAAGCAGGCGGTGGTGAATTTTTCTTTTCTGTTATGTGTATATTTTCTTTATATACGGGCGATGATTCCCTCTCTGCTTCTATAGTCATTTTTTCTTCTGTGTCTTCTATGCCAGAACAACTTTCAGTTTCAGAAGTTAAGCGCTCCCTTGATTGCATTTCCTTTTCTAACTTCTTCCTCTTGACGTAGCGGCAACATTTGTGAATGCAGTAGATAGAACTACATCCCCCATAAATAAGAACTATAAGAGGCAGGACTAAGTACATCGCCCTGTTATTCGGATCGGCGTAGAATTCCTCGATTGCGTTTGCATATTGTTTGGGAGGCGGTGCCGAATCGTTGGATCGCTTTACACGTACATGAACGTTACCTGAGATGCTTGTGTCGGTTAATTCGATGTTTGACCACCAATTTTTGTCTGGATGCTCTGTTGAAATTGGAAACGCTTGACTAGGAAACAACTCTGAAACAAATACATAGTTAAAATTTAACAGCTACTACGAAGTCAGTCCCAATTCGGAATTATTTATACTGTATACCAAACAACTGAATGAACAACATGTTTTTTATGCTCCCAACTAAAAAACGAATTCAATTCAATAAGTATCCATCAAATTATCGCTAACGTTTATTAATTTTTTTCCTCTTTTTTGTTTTTTTTTTTATTTTGAATTTTGTTAATTTTTAAAATTTTTTTTTCATTTTTATAATTGATTTAATTTACTACTTTGTTGAAGACTTTGGTTTTTTGTTTTTTTGTTTGTTCAATTAAGATCAGTTTATTAATATAGACTCATTCCTAATATTTAAATAAATTCATTTAAATTTTTGATATTCAAATAAAACTATTGAATATAATTGTGCTATTTCAGTGATTTTATTTGCACGACATAAACCTAACTTAAGGTGATGACAGAAATATCCAGTAAAGCCGGTTTCTTAAGCGGATGAAAACTTTGATGAAGTAAATGTTTGGTGAATACTCAGTTCCATGAAGTGGTAAAACAGAGAATTTTATATTCTACATGCGTTTTCAGTATGTTTAATGTATATCTGAATAGCGATATTGACAAGAAATTGAGTAAAAACCAACATAAGATGTTAAGATACATGTATATTGTTTAAGAGCATACTCATGTAAGAAACCTTTATTTTCCGTATCTATATATTCATGTGCAAATTTAGTGATTAAATTTTTAGCGGGCTACTTCAAAACTGCTAAAATAAGCAAAAGTTACCACCCTGCTATACCGTGTATGCTATAGTCAGTTTCAGAATAATAGAAGTGTTTGTGAAACACTGATACCCCCGTATGGCAGATCGTGGTGAAGGTTGAAGTCAAACTCCAAAGGTCAAGGTCAAAATTTCAAAATTGTTGGTATTCAAAGGAAGGTCTTGTCACAAGGAATACATGTAAACATGTGAAATAGGAAAGCCCTATAGCTACGTTCGACTTTAAAAGGTCATGGTCAGGTTTAAAGGCTTTAAAAAGTGGGTAAAAATCTAAGGAAATCATCTCCAATTGTGGGGCACAAAAATGACAGGCAGATTTATAAAGGTGGAAATCATAGCATTAGGAATTACATTTGTGCATGTACAGTTTTCTAAGTTTTGTTGCAAGTAACCCTTAGCCTGATCATTACCCGAGCTTTGTTTCAAAAGGTTTGGAAGAAAGATTAAGCAGTGCACGACAAGATTTCTTTTAGATTGCTTAAAACAAAATTAGTATAAAAAGGTTTATGGACGCTTTCAAGTTGAAGACATTTTTTCTGTCACTGTATAATCTTTAGTCGAAGACTTAAAACAAGTTTTTTTCAGCGGCTAGTATACATAATTGTAAAGCAGCAAATCACATGTATGAAAATACAAGTTCCCAGTAAATATAATCATTATACTTAATTGTGGGTCTATATTTATGCAAACATAAACGTTTTTCTATTTGATTTAATGTAAATATTAAGATGTTGCTAGATGTTTGCAATATGATTCGCTGAGTTATTTTCTATTCAATATGTTCGATCCAATGTTTGGGTTTCTTGTATCAGAAGGTTCTTTTTTATAAATCTTTAATTTGTTTTCTGTTAAAATGTCCTCATTAATCGAAGATTCCCGGGTGTCTGTATTCAAACTAGCTATCTGTCTGTAAATTATTTAACAATTGCCAAACTTCCTGCGCTAAGTGTCCTATTCTTTAACAAAACTGGTACAAGACTTTGAATTATTTTTAGAAATAGTTCTAAGATTATTTTTTAATTAAAATTTTTATTTTGTTTTGGTTACTAATATTCCATTTTGTTCGGGCAATGCATAATTTTTCTACCATTATATTGTTATATGAAATTACAGAAATTGAATTTCTATTAATTGGGTCAAATGCTGACTGATTTTTTTATACATATTGTTAGGTTAAAATTCAAACATTGAATTGACGACCGATTTTTTCCGTAATTTCCCGATCATGACAAGGAGCACACAGCGGGTGTGACCGGTCGGAAGGGGATGCTCATTCTTCAATGGCACCTGACCCTACCTCTGATGTTTTGGAGGTCCGTGTTTCCTCTGCTCCTATTTGTTTTATGGACTTCTGATCTTGAATACTGTTCGTTATCTCCATATATTTCATTACTAAAGTTTTATTTATGTAAGGGTGTGTATGAAAGTTATCGGCGTTAACATACATTGTAAACATGCCATGGAAACAAATGAATACTTGAAAATTGTTTTGAATCATATCCTTTTAAAATACCATTTATTTCATTATATAAACATTACTTCTCCTGTGTTTTACATTATATGTTTTCCAATAAACCCGGATATAATTGAATGCTACGTTTACTTATTTAATAACATGGATGTGAGATAACGAACAGTATTCAATATCAAGGTCCATAAAACAATACAAAATAAGAGCAGAGCAAACACGGACCTCCGAAACATCATAGGTGGATCAGGTGCCATGGATAAATTTCTTTTTATTCTTTTTTGTGATAATTTATATTTTCTCATTGTTTTTTTTTTTTTACGTTTCTTTTCTGTCAGTTACATATCAATTCGGTCACATTTTAGTCCCCATATTTCTCATCTGAAGAAAACAAAATCTGTAACATGCATCTAAACCATAATTTATACGCATACATTTAATCTTAAGAAGAAGGTACGGCTTGGGCTTTCTCATACCCCAAGAATTTAATGATCTTGAAAAGTTCTGAAAATGTCTTTAACATGAATTGGGTAGATTATCATAAATTACTTTTTAAAATACTGTAAAATCCTATATTTTCGTGGCGTCAAATTTTCGTACTTTGAGGAAAAAATCTTGGTTCACGGGGATTTGATTTCGTGGAGGTAGAATTGTTGAGTAGTTATGTATGTCACATTTAACAGTTCGTGGTGGACATGAATTTGTGGGCCTCTTCACACCTCGAAAACAACAAAAATTAAATCCCCACGAAAATTTGTGTTTTCACAGTATGTCGCAAGGAAGGACTATTCTGGAAATAGATGACGACATTAATTTGGTGTATTTCTAATTTCTATGCAGAAAAGCTTCGAAATGACTCATTTATGTGCTTTTTTCTCTAGAAAATAGTGTCTGCAGCCGTCGACCACATCAATGTTTGGATATGTTTTGTAACTTGGTTTGAAAATTCACATATCTCAAATTCTTTGTGGGCGATGCATGCACTGTATATTTCCCGAAAGAAATTTCGACGGAAATTTGATGTCTTCTGCGACTTTAAAGAAAATACGGGAAAAGTTCATGACGTCACAATCAACATTTAAGAAATCATATTGGAAAAACGATTTGTACGTTTTTACTGCATGGAATTTCATTAAATCAGAAATGATGAATTGAAGTTTCTTACATCACTTATAAATTTTAGAAGAAATACACGGCCGTTTTATAGACACCGTACTTCGTTCTTTGTTTATTGAGTTTCTTTTTTCCATTTTAGTTCTTTTTTATATACTTTTGTCAGCCAAAGCGTCTGTTTAAAACATGAAAAGCGATCATACATTGGTATGGTTGTTCCAAAAGGAATAACAATTAAATACAATGCTCCATTTTTACATGATAAATAGCTGTGAATTCAGATCTTCCTTAACATAGCTAAACACTGATACAAAATAACTGACTTTAACCATTGCATAAAGGGACTTATTACCCTTAAAACAAATTTTCTCATTTATATCACTGCTAAAATTTTCTCATTTATATCACTGCTATAAATTTTCTCATTTATATCACTGCTATGAATTTTCTCATTTATATCAATGCTATAATTCGGCTCATTTATACAAAGCTATAAATGGACTCATTTACTATAATACACAGTGACTTATTTACCACTGAAATACCTTTGATATATTTTTAATCTTTATCTCTGATACAAAGGATCTTACCACCATAAGAAATTTATTTACCACTTATACAAGTGTATGACTTATTATTGATTAAAAAGTGACTTACCGTTGATCATACATAGATAGAACCACATCCACTGTAACTGTAGAAGAATACATGTTCTTATCCCCCTCTTAAGTAAATGAAACATCTCCACTGAAATAGAAAAGTGTGCATTGTACAACTGGATTGGCTATTGTTAATAATACCATGTTTACTGCATAATAAATGTATTCGTTAAGGCAGCTTTTGCCACATTAAATAAAAAGTCACGAATTTTGGTTAATATATTATTTATTACATAAATCGATGTATAGAAAATATTTTTATCGGTGAACATAATTTATCAATAACCTGCTGTGTTAGCTAATGACACAAGTTTGGAATATAAAATTACACCTGTACCACGTGACCAGCTGTACCACGTGACCACCACGTGACCAGTCACTTCACATTAAACAAAATAAAGAGAAATGCATCCACAGAAATAAAACAGGTAATGTCGGTCATTTAATGGACAAAATCAATAAACAGGTCTACTGTTCTCCCAGAACACACGAATAAAATTTGTGTTATCAGCCATCTCAGAGAGCAAGAAAGCACCGTCTTCTAAAGCCAAGTGGCAACCATTTCCTGGTTTCGCATATTTATTGAGGAAACCACTGGGATTTGTCATTAAATCTATTTCTACTGTACAAAAAATCGTTAAGATATTGGTCTAGCAAAACACTATGCCTCAAATTGAATAATTTATACTTTCTTCTATTATTGATAATTAAAACTCGATAAATTGAATACCAATTCACAATTTCATATCATTTTTTTACCAGTTACCTCTGATATCAAACTGGATAAAATATGTTTTACATGTATATGTTTTATAAAAAAAAATGTTATATAAATCAACTTTCCATAATCAGCCAATTGTCTTCACTAAATAAATAAAAAACAAAGAAAAAAGAAAAATTAAGAAAATAAGAGAGACTATATAAACAACAAGTTCCAGTGGGTGGATTCTAATGATATCTTTTTTATTTAAAAAAAATTTTATCACTGGATTTTAATTCTACTTTTGTAAACCCAAATTTATAGTAGCAGTTTATTTTTATAAAGATTTTTTCAAAATCTTATTTCAGCATTATTTTGAATATTCCAATCAACCAAAGTGAATTCGATCTACTCTACCTTTATTGAATTCCTTAACTTCATAAAAATCCTTACAAAGAAGCATTGGAAAGTCAATTTCATGCTCCACTCACCCCTATCCTTACAACAATAACTTAGAAGATATTGACTGTTGTTACGGAGAAACTTAAAAACTATTCTGATAATACACATAAGTTGTATAAATCAGATCTGGATTCGCAAAGAGTGCAGAAAACTTAAATATACATTTTTTTTTTAGAAAGTTAGTTACATAAAAAAGGATGACTTTTCTACACTGAGAGCAATTATTAAGCAAAAAGACCATCTAATTAAATCAGATCCTTGGATCCGCTTACACAGATTGCTACACAAGGATATGAGGAAACCCCATTCACGTCATCTCATTTGGTCTTTCAATTATCCAATCAAACGTTCAAAAAATTTAGAAGTATCTCGGAATTCTGTTACAGAAGTGAAAGCCATAACGGTAGATGAAGAGAAAATCGTGATCTGGTTACCGTAGCCTGCCAAGAGAACGACCACAGTCTTCCCTGTACAGAATTATAATAAATGCTTGTTTTTGTCTTGTTCTTTGGTCGTAATAAGAACTTGTAAGAAAATATAAACTATGTTTGGGTCATATTTTGACCGGTCTGCTTCATAACAATTAAGTATTTTGTTTTTTATACGGAATTTGACTACCTGAACAATACATAGGGCTCATGACAACTGAGACCCGTCAGCAGGGGATACTTACTCTACCTGAACAATACATAGGGCTCATGACGACTGGGACCCGTCAGCAGGGGTACTTACTCTACCTGAACAATATCTAGGGCTCATGACGACTGAGACCCGTCAGCAGGGGAGACTTACTCTACCTGAACAATACATAGGGCTCATGACGACTGAGACCCGTCAGCAGGGGATACTTACTCTACCTGAACAATACATAGGGCTCATGACGACTGAGACCCGTCAGCAGGGGAGACTTACTCTACCTGAACAATACACAGGGCTCATGACGACTGAGACCCGTCAGCAGGGGAGACTTACTCTATCTGAACAATACACAGGGCTCATGACGGCTGAGACCCGTCAGCAGGGGAGACTTACTCTATCTGAACAATACACAGGGCTCATGACGACTGAGACCCGTCAGCAGGGGAGACTTACTCTATCTGAACAATACATAGGGCTCATGACGACTGAGACCCGTCAGCAGGGGATACTTACTCTATCTGAACAATACACAGGGCTCATGACGACTGAGACCCGTCAGCAGGGGAGACTTACTCTACCTGAACAATATCTAGGGCTCATGACGACTGAGACCCGTCAGCAGGGGATACTTACTGTACCTGAACAATACACAGGGCTCATGACGACTGAGACCCGTCAGCAGGGGATACTTACTGTACCTGAACAATACACAGGGCTCATGACGACTGAGACCCGTCAGCAGGGGAGACTTACTCTACCTGAACAATACACAGGGCTCATGACGACTGAGACCCGTCAGCAGGGGAGACTTACTCTATCTGAACAATACACAGGGCTCATGACGACTGAGACCCGTCAGCAGGGGAGACTTACTCTATCTGAACAATACACAGGGCTCATGACGACTGAGACCCGTCAGCAGGGGAGACTTACTCTATCTGAACAATACACAGGGCTCATGACGACTGAGACCCGTCAGCAGGGGATACTTACTCTACCTGAACAATACACAGGGCTCATGACGACTGAGACCCGTCAGCAGGGGAGACTTACTCTATCTGAACAATACACAGGGCTCATGACGACTGAGACCCGTCAGCAGGGGATACTTACTCCTCCTGGGCACCTGATCCAGTGATAATAATCATAAGTCAAAGAATCAAAACATGTGGAGTAAACACGAACCTCTTATAACCTTAAAACAGAAGTCGTTTAAAGTGGATCTACCTAGAAATCTGTCCTCAATTGTTTACATGATTCTATGTAAAAATAAATATGAATTTTTTTTATTGATAAACGTCGCCCTGAATGTCGAATTGAAGGCCACAACAAGCTTCTTTTTAAGAAGAAGATTTTTAAATTAATACTTCTTCAAATGAATATACAAAAAAGGAACGCTAATTACTTGGAACAATAAATAATCGAATTATCGAATTAACAAGGTATTCCGTTAATTATTGCTCTCCAGTGGTAACGTTTGTTGAATGTATCAGATAGGATGAACTTACAACCCTCTAGTAGTTAGAATACAGTATGGTTAAGTTCCAGTGGTTACATTTGATGAATGTATCGGATAGGATGAACTTACAACTCTCTAGGAGTTAGAATACAGTATGGTTAAGTTCCAGTGGTTACATTTGATGAATGTATCGGATAGGATGAACTTACAACCCTCTAGTAGTTAGAATACAGTATGGTTAAGTTCCAGTGGTTACATTTGATGAATGTATCAGATAGGATGAACTTACAACCCTCTAGGAGTTAGAATACAGTATGGTTAAGTTCCAGTGGTAACTTTTGATGAATGTATCGGATAGGATGAACCTAGAACCCTCCAGCATTTAGAATACGGTTTGGTTAAGTTTGCTCCGATAATTGCTGATTTTATTATCCATGTAAAAATACACTTCTACCTCATATCAGCGTTTATCTATTAAAATTGTCAAAATATTGAATGTGAATGAGAACTACGCAATTCTATAAGGGGAAAAAAGTTTAGAAAAATATAACTTTTTTATCTAGACAAGTAATAAACAAAGCTGTTGAAAATCATATTTCACACTTTGGAGTCGGTCAAACTTAAAGGCTTTCAGTAAATTGATGGAATACATAAAAGTATATACTACACATGCTACAGTATATGAAATAAAACTACTCAATTATACAAGTTAATTATGCCTTTTACGGGGACATATTAGACGAACATTTTTGTTTATTTTACAGATTGATCGTTCTATACACATGTCAGCCTCCAGTGATCTAATTAAATGACAATTTCTGTAGTCCTGTGAGTTTTGCAATGAAATTCAAACTAGCGACAATAAATGCAGGCCTTAAAAACAATGCAATGTACAATCAATAGATGACAACCAGAGGTAATGCGAAGAATCAGGCTATCGATTGGAACATTTTTAATTGTCTGGGTGACGAGGAAACAAATAATTATAGGATAAATGGTATCATGGCTTCGATTTAAGGTTTGTTATGACATAATGAATAGCAGGGATGATGAATGCAGTATACTACTCAATATCTTTTGTAAACTGATGCATTGAATGTAGCATAAGTACACTGATGCATTGCATGGGTCGAATTTATATCGATTGATTTTCAATTTGAATTCTTTGTTGTATGATTTATTTATATCATTGAATAAAGTGCCTGAAGTTTATTGATTAGAACTATTATAATCTGTCATAATTTAAGACAATTGCAACTAAGCTTCAAACATAACTAAAAGTAAGATTTTTTTTCTTTCCGGTGTATTGACTGAGCATAATATCAGTTTCTATATTACTGATAATTGGGTAAATCTTAAAATTAACAGTTTGCAAAAAAACATCCCTTAGAGTTAGGTGACTGATTACCGTTATAATTAATATTAAAGACTGGATTTTGGGCACATTGCTATAATAATTATCCACAGAAATGACATACATTACATTACTGTTATAATTATCCACAGAAATGACATACATAACATTGCTGTTATAATTATTTAAGTACCATCACCTTCCCAGGAATAAAAGACTAATTATAAGTTTATTTATATTCTCTTAATTATTTCCCCCAGAACCTTAGTTTCACGTAACTATAAGAGCATCTGCTCGCATTTTTTAAATTTTCATGCACATTCTATGTTTGATAATTAATAACAGGTTTGATTTCATATTTAAATGTATGTTATGTCATGTGGGTTTCAGAAGATTGTGATTTCGTACAGATGACGAAAAATATTGAAGATCAAAAGTCCAAAAACAATACAAAATAGAAGCAAAGAAAACACA